GTGCATATCTGCCAGTCCCTGTTAACGTCCTGGCTGCTCTATTCTGAACCAACTGAAGTTTCCGGCCCGTCTTTCAGGGCAGCCCCACGTAGAGAGCATTACAATAGTCCAATTGGGAAGTTACCAGAGCATGGGTCGCCATTGCTAGGCCCTGCTCATCCAGGTAAGGGCACAGTTGATGAATCCACTGAAGCTGAAGGAAAGTGCTCCTTGCCATAGTAGCCACCTGGAACTCTAAGGACAGCTCTGGCTTGAGGAGCACTCCCAAACTGTGCACCCTGCCCTTCAGGGGGAGTGCAACCCTGTCCAGAACAGGGCTAAAATCACGTACCTGGAGGGATGAACTGCCTACCAACAGGACCTCAGTCTTGAAGGGGCTCCCCAGAGGCCATGTTGTCCAGGAGCCCCTCAGAGCTGGAGGTGGCCCTGGAACTACAGAAGCTGTTATTTCCTCAGCTTTCATTTGAAATATAGGGATCATCCTCACTGGACTATTACTAGAGGTTACTGAGATGATGCCTTAGAGGAGATAACTGTTAAAGATGATGGTGGTCATGAAGAAGATGTCTCCGTTCCTCTGGGAAATGCACCAAACCGGAAAGTACTGTATATCCCAACACATCCACCAAGGGCAGTAAAGGAATTGGTTGTTCATTCCAATTCCATCATTGCTCTCAGTTCCTGTAGAAAACAAACCAGAAGAGAGGCTATAAAGACAAGGCTACCATGTTGGCAGGGGAGACGGCATCAGCGGAGAGGAAGGCGCCCCCCCCACCTTGCCCTTCTGTCACCCCTGAAATGAACCGCGAAGACGAGTAACTGTGAGCGCATTAGGGCAGACGTGGCTTTTCCTCTGATTCTTTTCCAAGCTGAAAACGCCTCTTTCCATGGTACTAATAAGTGCCTCTTACCAACATTTCAATAGCAAAGGACTGTCAGTAAGACAAATGTCTCTACTACCCATGTCTATTAGGGCTATAATTTGGGATGTGCAGCTATGGCCATAAAAACCATCTGCCGGGATACATTTTCCACACCAGTGGAGATGGCAGGCATTCGGCGGAACTGGGTCTGAGCTTTGCAAAGTGTTTAAATGCCAGCTCTGTCTTAAGAGCCTGCCATGCAGGGTATGAATGCGATTGTACTGCATTCTGCTTCTAAACCAGAGCATTTCCTGGGAACATCTTCTCTAGCCCCTGCTAGAATACAGAGCAGAATCTACCATTCCTGAACGGCGCTCCTATCCCTGGGGGACTTAACTAGGTTTGTGCAGCTCCCTCATTTTCACAGCGGGAGGAACTGAAGAACAAGCTCGAACACTGAATTTTACTGAAGGCTCAGGCAGCCTACCATCTGCTTGAGGTTTTCATCCCCAGAAGCAAAGATATCTGCCTAGCCCAACCAAGCATACTCCAGATGTGCTTGATTTCAACTCCTACAGTTCTGAGCTAATACTGCCAATAGTCATGCTGGCTGGGGATTATGGGAGTTGTAGTTGACCACATCTGGAGAGCACTAGGTGGTGGAAGGCTGTTATGTAAGTTACTGCACCATGGGGGCAGTGCTCATGTGTAAGCAAGCATTAGCAAGAATGCTGCTTCGTCTGCCAGTTCTGTAACATACACACGCGTGCGTGCGATAAAATATAATAAGGAAGTCATAAAACTAATGGGAAGGGCTAGAAATCCAATAAAAAAATAAATAATCCATGCGATACCAGCATAGGATGTATTCCAGGCAAATGAGTGGGGGAGATTCACCCTTTACATTCGAGGGGTTGAGAGATTTTCTTTATTTGTTTTGGTCTCTGCATTCATGCAGTTCTTGTCAATGAAATGGCATGTGATTAACTATTTGCAGTGACCAGAGAATCCCCAAAGAGATTTCATGGAGAGAATTCCATTCCTTTCCTATCATCTCTGTGCTATTTATGGTATCAAATGGAGATGTTGGAGATTAATTATTAAAAAGGATAACTGAATCTAGACTTCATATTTCACTTCTGACTCAGTGGATTGCCTCTGGGAAAACTGACATGCACGATATTGAGAAATACTCCATATATATATATATATATATATATATAT